CGAGCAAGGGCAATGGTCAGTGTGGTTTGCGGGGCTATGGGACCCTAAGTCAATAGCTTCTGAAAGATGATTGCATTGCTGGAACTGGGTTCTTTCCCATCCTATGGTTTCCAGTAGGGGCTATGTGCACCTCTTATGAGGTATCTCCTTTTGATATGTGTTAAAAATGTCTGTGAATACACATTTAGAAGCTTTTATACTGGCAGGGTTAGAGAACCCTCTGAATACTCCCTCCTCTACCCTGCCCTCCCTTCATATTCACATTGAACCATTCCAATGCTATTTCCCCTCCCCCATGAATATCACTGTGCTCTGTCTGACTTCCCATGAAGAGCCCACACCACTCCAAGGCTGCTTATTCATTTTCTAACCTCTCAGTTTTCCATTGAAACACGCAAACCTCAAAATTCAGAGATGCCAGCCACCTATAAAAGAGAAAATGCAGAGTGAGTGAGGGATACATCACTCAGGAAGACTGTCTCCCCTTATGACCAGCTGCCTGTGAATTCCATAACTTTGTTTTTCATAATAGATGAATGACATCCCATTGTGTAAACATCCCAAGCTTTCATTATATATTCAGAAGTAGATGAAAATCCGGGTTGTGTTTAAAGGGCAGCAATGAACATGGAAGAACAGGAATCTGTTGTGTGTAGAGAGTTTTGGGGTATATGCCCGAGTGGTACAGCTGGGTCAATCAAATCATGGTAGACTGATTTCCGTCTTTCTTGAGGAAACTCCACACTGATTTCCATTTTGGCTGCCCGAGTCCGTATTCCCACATAAGGTGGAAAGATTCACCATTTTTCCCACTTCCTTGAAAACGTTTGTCAGTTTTTTGTTCTTTGAGTGTTAGCCACTGTGAGTTGGGTAAAAATAAAAATCCCAAAGTGGTTTGAATTTGAATTTCCTTTATGACTACAGATGTTGAATATTTGTAGAAGTTCTTAAAGAAGTTCTTAGACGTCTGTACTTCATTCTTATAAAATTCTCACTCCAGATCCTTGCCCCATTTAAAATTGGATTGTGTGATATTCAATATTTTGTGTTTCC